GTGAAAAAGATTAACCCAGTAACTTTGTTTTGGGAAGCCTTTTTCTGCAAGCGTCTGAGAAAACGAGCATGTCTGATTTCGCTCCCTTGGTGATGTGGCAAAGGGATCTTATTATAATATTACCGCCCATTAATCTGTAAGTTTCAACCCACGCCGCCGTCATTTTGATTTCGCAAGCGACAATGGTGTACCAGTTCTAATGCCATGGCGAAAGTTTGAGCAAAACATGCTAACTGTTCTGTCTTGGCTGCATAGACGAGCACAGAACACTATTTAGAGTCCCAGCCTCAGAGGAGACAAGAGAGCAGTGGATTTATTTATTTATTTACTGTATATTGCTGCTGCCACAAAGATCTAAAATAAACATTTGATTTATTTCCCAGCAGCTTACCTTCACAGACATAACCGACTGTTTTTGTAACTTGTGTGTGTTTTTAACGTAAACTTGTGTGTGAATGATAACTTAATTTAGTGCTCACATGCTGTGACAGCCGCTTTCTGTCCGTGTGCTTCAGATGTGTGCACTCAGAAAACCACTTATATTACATATTGTAAAAAGGGGCATAATTTGTCTCCTTTAAGAAATTGCTAAAAGAAGGTCCGCAGCCATAATTGTCTTGTCATTTTACAGGACTGTGCGTTCTGATAATAGTTTATTAAATGAATTATTTGGACAGTCATCTCATTAAAAATTTTCCTTAGTTAATTTTTTCCCCCATTTTCTCCCTTATCATATTCCTCTTTGTGTGTACGCATCTCGGCTTTAATTCACTTGTGTAGGGGGCAATTAAATGTGCTTCTGGATGATTACATTTGAGTGGCGAAATTCCCTCAAGCTCTGTGCAAACGCGGCACCTTGAGGAATCCAATCTGTAACGACACCACCGATATTCCTTTAAATAAAGGACCGGGAACTGAATTGTCATTCTTTCATGGCGGCGTGCACCTATTCAGGCTAATTTAATCAAGATTTGCTTCAGCTGAATAGGACGACAGTCGGCGCTCTTTTGGAGAACTTTCCCAGGTCTGTATTAATACCGTCACACTGTGCATGTGTGACAGTGATTGAAGTGTTGTGAAATGCAGGTAAAGAACGATTCATTATCTTGTCTCTTTAAATACTTTAAGGTTTATCAGAGCTATTTGTAATTTGGTTTGGAGTGGAGGGACTTTGACTGAATCTTTCCAGTTGCTTCAACAATCTGACGGACAACAGGCCATTAAGAGCACGTTTGATGATTTGTGTTGGGCATGAACGCACACAGCTGCAGTGACTCAAGAGCTTTTGTAGTAATCATATGTTTTGCAAATCCTCAACACAAAAGATGCTTCTAAAGGCATTTCACTTTGTAAAAATGTTATGTCCTTCAGATCTGGCATGATTGATTTATTTCCCATCTTGGATTTTGTTCTCTAGAAGTCATCCTACAGTAATAGAGTGGCGTTTGGTTGAAGTCCGGGGGCCAGAAGGTTTACTGGTTCAAACCTGGCAATGGATGCAAGCACTGTTTTTTCAAGCATCGGTCAATTTTGAGATTTGGGGCTATTTGGCTTTTCAAAAAGTGTTGTTTCAAACTAGTGGAAAGAAAACAACCAAAATACACTTTTGTGTTGCTTATATTGCACTTTATCTATTTGCATCTGTAGATTTCAATTCTTAGATTTCATCTGTAGATTTCAAGGCCATTTTCTCAAAATGATTGTTTTCTCCTGCAGTCAGAAATCTCTATTTCGCTTGCAGATTCATAGAGCATGCGTGGCCGTATTGGAGATACTCGGATGTAAACAGCATGGATTGCACAGTTAATGTACTACTGGAGACATTGTTCTACTAATTTATGATGTCTAAACCACGGAAAAAACGTGTGGAAGCTGCTAAATCATACAGAGAAGGACTTAATAAGCAGGAAAGGGCGCAATATTTTGACAAACTAAAGTTAATAGGTGGTAAAGATCTGTACGAGCTGGCTCCTTTGGCTCCTAGAATACAATAATAATAAATATAGCACCATTAACTAAATAGGCAGTTGTGGCCTAATTGTTAGAGAGTCGGACTTGTAATCCAAAGGTCGCAGGTTTGAGTTTCAGTATAGGAGTAGTAGGTGGGGAAGTGAATGTAAAGCACTCTCTTTGCTCTGGGCGTTGGAGCAAATGGCTGCCCACTGCTCCGGGTGTGTGTGTTCACTACTGTGTGTGTGTGTGCACTTGGGTGGATTAAATGCAGAGCACAAATTCCGAGTATGGGTTACCATACTTGGCAAATGTCACGACTTTCACATCTTTCCTCAGTTTTGCTGCACTCTTCTCCTTGATTTGTTATAACTTTGGCAGTTTATAGTACTCCATATGGTCTTCCCGGTCTACAGCCCAAAACATGACACAATAATTCACCATTTTCATCAGCAATAATCAGCAAAATCTGAAAGATCTGTTCGGTTCACTGGCATTGTTTACGTTGTTTATGGCCGACTTCCGGATTGATGGCATGTATTGAAAACACTCTAATGGAAATATGTGCCTCTGTCTAAATTTCTGCAAAGCTCAAAAAGCTTACCTACACATACGAATCGCTGCAGTTTCAAGTTGAAATGAACACTGGAGGCAGTTAAAATCAGACAACTTTTACAGTCATTTTGTACGTGATGAAATCAGATCTGTTTGTTTACACAGTATTGTTGATATCATGCATACATTGGTTGCTATAGAAATGATGTCAAATATTCTCACATGCATGAGAAACAATGATCTATGTTCATGTCCATTATCAGCATTTGACATATTTATGCATGTATGAAAAAACTCAACAAAAAAGACTCGCATAGTCTGCTATATGAGGGAAAATTTGTGAAAATTTTCTGACAATATTGTGCACTTTGCATTATGTTATTGTGTGCCAAATGGTAAAAAAAGTGCTTGAAACCTCATTTGCATCTTCAAACTGAGACTTTCAACTTTCATCGGATTTCAGATAAAACTAAAATCTGGTTTGGATTTGAGTTTAAAAGTTTTTTTTTTTTTTTTGTTTTTTTTTGTAATTCTACAACAATTAAACAAAAGTCTGTTTTTTAATTGAAATTTTCATTTAGTGCACTTTATACATTGGCAAATGATTTTATCCAAAGCTATTTACAACACATTGAAGTATTTTATCAGTGCATGTGTTTCCTGGTAAATGAACCAATAAGCTTGGATTTGTTGGCACTAGTTGAGCTTGAGGAAGACTTTCAGAGAAGCAATAAGCTTGGCTTTGTTGGCACTAGTTGAGCTTGAGGAAGACTTTCAGAGAAGCAATAGTGTCAAATATGCTGTTCATGCTGTATTCAGATATATTGGATATTTTTAACATATTGAATGTAAAAAATATAATAAAATAAAATAAGTAGAAGAATTTTAGGTTACTTTAGTGGAAAACCTATCTAATATGAAGTCAACTCAAGTCAAGTCACCTTTATTTATATAGCGCTTTTAACAATACAGATTGTGTCAAAGCAACTGAACAGCATTAATTAGGAAAATAGTGTGTCAATAATGCAAAATGACAATAGTAAA